GCCCCCCCCCCCCTCCCCCCGGGCTATCATCAAGACTATTGTCGGTAAATTTTTACTTAAGCATCGGTTTTTGTTTGGATATTAAAAATATGGGTAAATTTTTACTTTAAGACACGAGTCCCTAGGGGTTGATCAAAATGTTTTTCTAGTGTATTTTGGCGTGTTTTAAACAAATCTGACCTTCTTTTTACCATAAATTGCTATTCCCCTCTTCCCCCCCCCCCCTCAACAATAATGGGGAGAGCCTGGGAAATGGGGTTTTTGGGGTGGGGGAGAAAACGAATCATCTAACCTAACCCCTAGTCGGGGACTCCGCCTCCGTTACCATTGTGGATCTACATGAGAGAAGAGATCGTGTACAGGACATGTGTAAGCCTCTCGGTGGAGAGGTATGGGTGAAAAAATTGCCTTATTATTTGACGAGTGTAATTTTGATGTCAAATTATATAGAATATTTTTCTATAGTGTTTAATATTTTATATTATCAGTGATAAAACATACACCAGCCAGTCTCCCTCGCCTCTCCTCTCCCTCCCTCCCTCCCTCCCTCCCTCCTCTTTGCTTCCCACCTCCCTCCTTCCCTGCCTCCTCTCTCCCTCTAACTCAGTGTCTCGCACAAGGCTTTAAACTCTTAGATGTTGTTTGTGTGGTGTTGGGGGTATTAATTTATGAATAATTGACCTAAGGTTAAAAATTGCTTTGAATTCATTTAAGGTGGATGTAGGGGAGATGATTAGTGGGTCTCATGTTTTTTACCTGACCTGTTGTTGTGTCACCCTTTTTTTTATAAGCTCTTCTTTCGTTTGCAGTGGAGGTGGTGTGTGGATCAGGGTTGCCCGTTTTCACGGCCAAATTTCTCTACTTTGGCCGTAAAAATAACTTCGCCTGTCCGTGGAAGAATGGATGGTCACGGCCAAACTATTTGGCCGAATTTTTTAAAACACGTATTAATTCCTCATCTAGTGGATTTTGAAGACAAGTTTAGCAGATTTTCAAATTTCGCAAAAACAACACTGGCTCAGTGACCTCACCTTTTCATGACCTCACCTAATCAGCGTCCTCACCTCATCACATGATTATATGACCTACTGAGCTGACTGACCTTAGTTGTTAGTTCTCCTATTTGAGCTGTTCAGGCTGAACTTGTCCAGTTATACGGGTTAAGCTTCAGAACTTACAAAGCCATCCGAGTTACTTTCTGAAATTCTGAGAGCTAGTTTTCAAAATGTCCACTAGCAAATGGAAAGGGTCCTACGACAGTGATAGAAAATATAATAAATCATGGGAAGAAAAAAACGTCTGGGTTAGTAGAGCCCGTGATGGAAGTGCAAATGCTTATTGCAAAGTTTATAGAACACACAGCTCCCAAAGCATCTCATTTGGCAGATCACAAAAAATCGAAAGGGCACTTAAGCAGAGTAGCTGCATCGTCCATGTGTATGGCGCTGCCTGTGATGATTGACCGAAGGAAACGGGACAATGAAAACAAAAAAGTGTCGAGTTAGAGTTCGATGTGGCTATATCCTGTCACTGTTCAACAGCAAGTGAAGACCATCTTGGGGAAATGATGAAAAAGAATGGTAAAGGAAGTGAACTAGAGAATCTGCAGCTCCATCGTACAAAGTGCTTTAAGTTGCTCTCCAAAGTAATCACTCCCGCATTGTTTGAGGAATTAAAAGAGGATGCAAAGGGCAAGAAGTACTCTGTGCTTGTTGATGAAGCAACAGATGTGGCCACAGACAAGCATATTTGTGTCATTGTGAGGTATTATAGTGATTCAAGATAGAGAATTGTCACTGAATTTGGTGTCCTTGTCTCCATTGTTGGGGCTACGGGTCATGAAATGTTCTTGACACTGAGCAACACCCTGGGGAAGGTGGGATTAAAGTGGTCGACTGTGTCGGGTTTAGCAGTGATTGGTGCATCTTCGTTGATTGGTGAACATAACTCAGTGTGGTTGAGAGTGAACAGTCACCAAACTGTCAGCTCAACAGATGTGTGTGCCACTTACTTGCACTCTGCATTGAAAAGTCTTTAGACAAGCTGCCAACTAATCTTGGATACCTCTTGCAGGAAGTTCCTAAGTTGTTCAGTAAGAGCGTCATCCGTAGAGAGGCATTAAAGGAACTATTTAGGCAGTGGTTCCCAACCTTTTTGTACTCGTGACCCCCTTCTCAAAACCCCGAAACACACACGACTCCCCTGCCATCAGCCATTTCAGTTTTACAAAATTTTCTGAGAAGGAAAGGGGAAGAAAGAGAAAACAATCATTAAGTCATCAATGTTGTGCCTTCTCCACCGGCACAACATTATGTTGTGTGAGCTAGGTTACTGGTGTATCAGCAAAATGAAAGTTTTGGTAATGTTCCTACTGATGTACTAAGTTCTTCTCCCAAGGCTACCAAGTTCTCCCAAGGTTTCACGACCCCCCAGCCAACCCTCCGCAACCCCCTGGGGGGGTCGCGACCCACAGGTTGGGAACCCCTGATTTAGGGTAATGGATGCTAAGGAAGAACAAAAAGGCACTCCTCTTCCCTTTCAGAGACACACTTGTACGCGATGGCTAGTTCGAGGAAAAGTCATCTACAATATCCTCTTAAACTGGGAGGAACTGAAAGCCTACTTTGCTGTTGCAGTTCCAAGGGCAGATACTTCCTATCACTACAAAGCAAGAGAAATACTGGGTATGCTGGAGGATCCAGTCAATCTGTTGTACTTTCACTGTGTCACCAATCGTTACAGAATTTGAAATAGTTTATTCTCTTTTTCAAACAACAGATGCTGATCCTGAAGAACTGGTAAGTGAGTTGGTCCTGCACCACAAGAGTTTGCAAGATAGAATCCTTGACAGGAATGGAAAGCCACTGCCACTAAACATGGTCGACTATGGTGCCAAATTCATGCACGAGTTGTACACCTTCATAAACCAACAGAATCAATCTGCTGAAGCAGTAGGCAAGGTAGATGAAGTAAAAAAACGATGTGCTGGTCTTTTAATCAAGGCCTTGAAACTAGTAGAAAGAAGGCTTCCAGCATCGACGGGGATCTTCAAAGGCTTGAGTGTATTTGCTCCATGCAAGTTATTGAGCCAGACTGAACAAGTGCCATTCAAAGACCTTCCACTGCCTCACCTTCCAAATGAAAAAGAAGATACCATTGAGCAGCAGTACAGAAAAATACTGCATTTGTCTTGGGCGGAGAAGTCCGTTTTTTATGGCAAAATTCCCACAGATTCTCTCTCTTTCTGGTCTGGGGTGTTGCAATACAAGAATTCAACAGGCAAACGGCCCTTTGAAGAATTAGGGACCTATGCTATGGCTTACCTCAAAACACCAACGAGCAATGCTGTTCTTGAAACAATATTTTCCACGGTAACCAACGTCAAAACTAATTCACGAAATCGACTCGGTTCTGAAATGTTGGACGCAATTATTAGAGTTCGTTCACACTTCCAGTTCCAAGGAAAATGTTGTAGAGATTTCAAAGTAACACCACACATGATGGAGCTATTCAAATCTGCAAACATGTATGAGGAGGAAGAACCAGGGGATGATGACAGACTAGATGTTCTTGCTTATGTCAACCAGTGTTGTCAAGTTCCTCCACCATTATCATGCTCCACCACCATTTCAGATTAAGGTAAATCTTCACTAGATTATAGATATTATGTTTATGTAATTATTGGGCTCTCAATTCTAAGTGAAAATTTGTCTTATTATGACATTTTAAGTGGATATTGTAAGGGAGAATGTTTTATTTTGTGTGGATTGCTAAAATAGCCTTATGCTTCTCATCCAAAAAGATTTGGCTGAATTTGAGCCAAAAATGAAAAGTGGTTTGGCCAATTTGGTTGTGAGATGGCGCAAGTGTTGGCCATGAAGCTTGTCGCTCATCTGGCAACCCTGGTGTGGATTAGTGGATCCCATGTTGACCTGACCTGATGTTATGTAAGGTCACTCATTGTATATAAGCCTCTCTCGGTCCCTGTAAATTCAGTTGCCTCTGAAGATGTCTTGAATAAAGACAAAAGGTAAGGTGCTCCAGTGCAGTTAGTTGATCAAGAGGTAGCAGTGAACAACACGAGCGGTGGCAGCGGGACACAGACTGAGCGGATGTAAACAAATCTGATGTGGCGCGTTTGGTGCAGAATTAAATGAAATCATGCTCGATTTAATGGAAAGGGGTGGCTCGAATTAGTTCGTTAAATCGAGAAAATAATGATAAATAAATTTAGGCGCACAAATAAAGCTTCATTGATAAATGACTTTTTCATGAAACTTGAACATATCGTAAGCCACTGTAGTACCTGTAAAATGGTTGCCCCTTGTATAACGAGGATGGCCAGCCCAAGGGCCACCTAGACGTGAATTTGTTTAAGGTGTCGAAGCTGTCGCCAACACAACAACCACACTCCGAGTTAATGAGTTGCATGTCCCAGTGTTAAGGAATAGTCCGAGAAGACCGGACAACTCGCCAACTGCACTGGCTAACCATTACCCCGGAACACGATCCGCAAATCGATTACATCCTGGTACCCAATTACTGCTGGGTAGACAGAGGCAAATGGCGTAAAGAAACTTGCCCATAGTTTCACCCTGCCCGGGGATCGAACCCGGGTCCACTCGCTTGTGAGGCGAGCATGCTGGCCATTACACCGCAGGTCGCCACAACCACTGTGTTTACTAGTCACTGGAGTAAACACCTCAACAAAACCATGAACATTGCTGCTATGGGCATTGTGATATGGTAACAGTCAAGTCTTGGCGCCATGGTAATTGTGATCTTTCTATAGATGTTGTCTAGATATTTTGTATTTGATATGAAATCTTATCTTTGGCATTGATCAGAAAAATTAGGTCAAGGCCATAAATAAGTGTGATAAATCAATGAAAAACAGTACAGTCCCACCAACTTCTATCATTCTTAGTGCCTACAACCACAAACTTCATGATACTGTATTAACAGGATGGTCATAATGATAAGAGTAATTTTTTCCACAGATCTGGTGAACTTACTAGTGAGCAGCGAAGATGCCTCCTCCACACTCCAACATGTAAAGAACTTTTACCTGTGGACTAGGTGAGGCTGTGTGGGTCACAGGTGGGCAATAGAATAAATGGTAATCGAGATGCAACACTGACTCCCGTAATGACCTCTCACTTGGTTAGCGTAAGGCTGTGTATATATATATATATATATATATATATATATATATATATATATATATATATATATATATATATATATATATATATATATAGTATATATATATACAGTATATATATATATATATACAGTATATATAATTTTTTTTTTTTTTTTTTTTTACAAAGTAGGTGTCTGTAAATAATGTAAAATGAAGACATTCATAGTGTGTCCATGAGCCAAAAAGTCTAATCTTGCCAACTTTGAACCCTTAAATTTAAAGCTGTTCTTAAATTCATGTCTTGTATTTAGGGAGAGAGGCAGTTAACTTGTTATAAGGGGATAAAACAGAAGAGTATTTGTAGAATGAAATCAAAAGTTTCATTAAGGGGAAAACAATATCAAAGTGTCATTAGAAAGTCGAGTCCTGCAGTACAGTATAACTCATAATTTTGAATTATTGGTGTAGTACTACTGTAATTATTATGCTTATAAAGACCTTAGTTGTTAAATTGCTCCACCCCCAGCTTAATTTAACTGAAGGTTAACCACAAAGATTGGTGGAAAAAAAGTTGTAGTGAAAACACCAAAAACAAAGGTTGAGCAAAAAAGCAAAGGCTGAAGGGAGAACCCCCACAAAAGACAAAGTTTGAAGGGGAAAAACATTATTAATAGAGGGTAAAATGAGATCAAAGTGTCAGTAAGGTATCAAAGTGTGATTGGGTATAAAACAAAATCAATATCTGGAGGGGTAAATCTTTTTCCAAGTTTTACCAATGAATTTCTAGGATAAGAGACTTGGTATGATGGATTCTCTTGGTAACACTCATAATGACAGTACAGTAAAAGTCCAAAAATCTGGATGCCAGAAATCCGGACCACCCGAGAATCCGGACTTTTCGAAAATATATATATATTTTTTTTTAGCGGGCTTTTGTGTGTGTGTGCGCATGTGTGAGTGCCACAGCTGCACAGTGACAACAAGCGACCATGTGGTCGCCACTTTAAAACGAGCAATCAAACTGTGACAACATACCGTATATACTCGTCTATAACCCTCCCCCTCGTTTATCGGTCGACCCTGATTTTTTGACCAAGAAATCGTTAATTTATGATATTCCTCATTTATAGTTCGACCCACGTTTTTTAGGGTAATGGAACAACAAAACCTTCAGTAAAAATGCTCTAGGTCCTATAAACTGAGGCTCGCCATGCCTGAAACACGAGTGCTGAAGGCAAATTGTTTACCATTTATTATTACGACACTTTACACTGAAACGCGGGTAGTTTCAACAAAAATATTGTATATTTCCATTCAAGTATTTATTCAAGTCAATTGGGAGGGAATATTATTGTAATACAACAGTTTTTTAACTGAAAACCATTTGAAAAGCGATTATGGTAACATCTTTTGAACGAAAGAAAGCAAAAGTCATTGTTTTCGTCATGATTTTATCCCACTTTCCACTGTAATACGTACGTCATTTCAGCAAAAATATTACATTTCCGTGAATGCGTTATATCAAGCACACTATGAATAGAATACCATTGTAATACTGTATAACAACATTTTGAGTCCTACTCTTTCCATTTACAGAGTACTGTACAAGCCCATAATAATGGCTCCTAAAGTAGATAAACTTCGTTGAGTGAAGAGAAAGAAGAACACGTTGAAATTGAGTGACAAACTTGAAATAATTAAGAAACTAGAACGTGGTGTGAGCAATACTGTTCTAATGGAAACATACGACATTGGAAAGTCTACAATTTATGATATAAAAAAGGCAAAGAATAACATTCTAAAATTCACAGCTTTTTCATTAAAACTGCTCACTTTGATAAATGAAGCATGCTATATTTGCTAATGAATAAACTATCAAAATGTACCTGTTCATCTCTTTATTCCTCCTTAAATTTGAATTTTAAAAGTACTGCCTGAGAATCCGGAAAATCCGAAAATTCGGACCGACCCAATCCCCAAGCAGTCCGGATTTTTGGACTTCTACTGTACCACTATTTATTTATTTATTCATTAATTTGTATTTCTTCATTATTTCATCATTTATCAGCTTACTATCTGTTTGGACACTCAGTCAGTTCTTTGTTATTTTCTTATGACCATTATTACCAATATTAGTACGGGAAAAAAACGGAGTACCCAGAGAAAAACCCGGTGATGTTTTGTAGGGTCACGCTGGATAACACCCTTCTCACATATGTACCGAGTAAGGGATTAAACCCAGGACACAATACTGTACAGGTAATGAGAGAAATGCATATTACCGCTGTACCACCAATACCAGTTGCAGTTTGGAGTGGCAATAGGTTGTTGAAACTTCTATATAAATGAACCTGGAATTTCTTTTGAATTTTCCACCTCATAATGAATATGAGGTAAGAGAACCTGCATTGTTTCACATAATATTGTTGACACTAAAAGTTAAGCTATAGTTTACAGTACTGTATTGATTTTATGAACCAAACCTTCCTGTGATTAATTGCTGCTGACATTTTGCAGCAAACATACCCATTCTGTGGGACACCTTAGTGTACTGTATGTACTGTAGTATTATTAATTGCAAGATAACATGATGAACTGAGGGGAGTTGTGTTGTTAATTTTCAACTTGTAATTTTGGCTAGACAAACAAAACTTTCTTTATTTTATTATTATTTTTTTTTTTTTACTCTCTTACATGCACAGAGTAACTATTGGTTACCATCAGCGAGGTTCATATATACAGAAGTGGTAGACATATCACATGTGTTATCGAATTACCACGAGCTTTCCCACCAGTCTCCGGTAATTTCCCGACTATCGGTATCAGTGTACAGACAAACAACAGGCAGGTAGACTTCCACCAGGTCACAGAAACACACTTGGGAACTGTAGTTTTCTTTACTAGTCACTAAATCTTCACAAAAACTGTTCACAGGGTGTCTTTACCACTGGACTACAACTCACTTTGAATACTATACTGTAGTCAGCACACTACCAGTGTGAAATACCTCGGTCTTTTCACTTTATATCACTCGCAACAATTCCACAATACTCGAACAACAATTATCTTTAGCCGTCACTAGGTTTGTACTTCACACACTAAGCAGAAATGGGCGACTAATTCCCTAGCAACTAGCTGGTGTTCATATACTTCTGCTCGGCTGCCTAGAGCATTCTAGTGTCATCCAGGCATTCCAGGTTGGAACGAGATAGGCCCAGAAAGCTCTAGAATGATCTAGGCAACACATTCTATAAAATTCTAACATAGGTAATACATCAGTATATACAAGAAATCTCCCAAAACTTGCCAAAATAACTACTGCTTGAAATAGAAAATAATCAGAACACCTAGTTCACAAAACTTATAATACTAAATTATGCCTCGGCATAACAGTATGGTCAAAAACATAAAAGGAATAAACAATTTTTACTGCCCATCGTTACATTAAGTATGTTCAACCATTATACTGTATGATAATTTTCTACTCTTCACCACCTCTAGGCATCATCGAGAGGAGCTACAGGAGCTAAAAGTAGAGTCACAAGCATCCCTGACTGCCACCCATTTCCTCCCACGCCGCACCTATGTTATCATCCATGGGTTCCTTGGATCTGGCACCGATGCCTGGATAATTGCAATGAAGGATGGTTAGTGGCATTCTTCTTGTATAGTATATGGTGCTTAGGCCTTGCTGTATCAATGAAACTTTATTAACATCACTGTAAACCAAGGTAACACTATAAACAAAGGTAACACCTCAAACCAAAGTAACATTATAAACCAAAGTAACACTATAAACCAAGGTAACACTGCAAACCAAGGAAACACTATAAACCAAGGTAGCACTGCAAACCAAAGTAACACTATAAACCAATGTAACACTAAACCAAGGTAACACTGTAAACCAAAGTAACACTATAAACCAAGGTAACACTGCAAACCAAGGTAACACTATAAACCAAGGTAACACTATAAACCAAAGTAACACTATAAATGAAGGTAACACTATAAACCAAAGTAACACTATACACCAAGGTAACACTATAAACCAAAGTAACACTATAAGCCAAAGTAACACTGGAAACCAAAGTAACACTATAAACCAAGGTAACACTGCAAACCAAAGTAACACTATAAACCAAGGTAACACTGTAAACCAAAACCAAAGTAACACTATAAACCAAGGTAACACTGCAAACCAAGGTAACACTATAAACCAAAGTAACACTATAAACCAAGGTAACACTGCAAACCAAGGTAACACTATAAACCAAGGTAACACTATAAACCAAAGTAACACTATAAATGAAGGTAACACTATAAACCAAAGTAACACTATACACCAAGGTAACACTATAAACCAAAGTAACACTATAAGCCAAAGTAACACTGGAAACCAAAGTAACACTATAAACCAAGGTAACACTGCAAACCAAAGTAACACTATAAACCAAGGTAACACTATAAACCAAAGTAACACTATAAATGAAGGTAACACTATAAACCAAAGTAACACTATAAACCAAGGTAACACTGCAAACCAAGGTAACACTATAAACCAAGGTAACACTGCAAACCAAGGTAACACTATAAACCAAAGTAACACTATAAATGAAGGTAACACTATAAACCAAAGTAACACTATACACCAAGGTAACACTATAAACCAAAGTAACACTATAAGCCAAAGTAACACTGGAAACCAAAGTAACACTATAAACCAAGGTAACACTGCAAACCAAAGTAACACTATAAACCAAGGTAACACTGTAAACCAAAACCAAAGTAACACTATAAACCAAGGTAACACTGCAAACCAAGGTAACACTATAAACCAAGGTAACACTGCAAACCAAAGTAACACTATAAACCAAGGTAACACTCAAACCAAAGTAACACTATAAACCAAAGTAACACTATAAACCAAGGTAACACTATAAACCAAGGTAACACTATAAACCAAAGTAACACTATAAACCAATGTAATGGTGATTCACAAAAAACTGGCTCGGTTTACAGATCCGTCTTTCCCATAGTGTTTATTTCTTAATCTCGCCACTGTCATTGTTGGTGCTGCTGTAATGCTTTTCTACAAAGAATCCCCGTGCCCCTGTTTCTTCCAACAATGGTACATTTCATAATGGTAGCTATTTAGCCAGAGCTCTGAGTTGAAAAATATTTGAACTTGGTAATTAACCCAATGGGCCAGTAAAAAAATAAAGCATGCATTAGCCCTGCAACTCCTGTTACTAGCCCAAGGTCACTTAGTTAGTTGAAAAGAGTTTTATTGTCTTTTTCTTGGTGAGGGCTTTCAGGCTGGTTATCATCTGTTTCTTTGTCATTATTCATTGTTCAAGCAGGTGGGCTAATGCCAATATTACAAATAATCAAAACACTTTAAAAGAAGTCTTCTTGAAGTTTAAAACTTCTGGAGATTTGCTTGCCTGTTCAGGCAAGCTATTCTAGGCATCCATAATGCACAAGGAGATATTCTTTTGCCTTGGCTTGGTGTGTGGATGCCTTGAACAACTTAAAACTAAGACCTCTGGTATTACTGTCATGTGGTTACATATGGTGAACACACCTTCGTATGGTATATGTAGTATCTTACATGATTTAATGGGAGAATGAGAAGCTACATGCTGACTCTTACTCAGGTGGTTTATTGTTGTTGTTGTCGTACAATGTGCCTGACACATTCGTGATTACACAGGCCTAAACACATTCTAACTTTGGTAAGAAGTAACATAATATATAATCAATAAAGGCAACATATAAACATATATAACCGTATACTATTCCATCCAAAATTTTTAGTCTTTATCTTATATTAACATATCCCATGGTATGCTATTGATGATACCTTCATCATTCTCGTACAGTCTCCATAGCAAAGGTGTATTAGCCTGGGTGTGAGTTTTTCATCCTCCTCTGAACATTCCCAGTTTTTTGGGCGTCTTTTCATCTTGAGGGAGATACTGTACAGTACCATACTGCATTGGCATACATTAAATATGGGCAAACCAGAGCCTTCTGCACCATGGTCAGACCATGGCCTTCTATACCATGGTCAGACCATGGCCTTCTATACCATGGTCAGGTCAGGGTCTTATATACCATGATCAGGGCAGGGCCTTCTACACCATGGTCAGACCAGGGTCTTCTACACCATGGTCAGACCATGGCCTTCTATACCATGGTCAGGTCAGGGTCTTATATACCATGATCAGGGCAGGGCCTTCTACACCATGGTCAGACCAGGGCCTTCTGCACCATGGTCAGACCATGGCCTTCAATACCATGGTCAGGTCAGGGCCTTCTACATTACCTGAACTTTTCTGTATCAGCATGGTTGATTGATTGCTGGAGTTGCCATATCATATGGTTTACCTTGTTAACTTTCTCTCGCATGTCATCTTCAGATGTCACTTTACAGGTCACCTACTGCCAATCCCAATTCCATCTTCTCTGTCTCATTAATTTAAGTTACTTTCAGTCCCCATATATTATGTTCTGTGACTTTATTCCCTTTTCATGCTAAAATTGATTTCATTACATCAATCTGTGTTATTGTAAACGATCTATGCGAAGTTCTCAATTCTATAGTCACTAGCACATTCCCAATTTTCCTGTCCTTGGCTACCTGTTGATCATTTCCAGTGGTATGCTTAGTTTTATTACTGTATATGCCTTTTTATAACCTCAAGATCTTTTCCCCCACAAGCTTCAGAGGCTGTTCAACAAAAACATTTGATATAGGATTTATACAACAAATGTAACTAATGCTTTTGTTCACTAGTTCTTTTCCTTCCTAATAACTCTTTGGTACTTTTGTGCAGTCTTCCAAAAAAGTATCATTAGCCATGGTGTTGATGTGATTAGAGGTTTTCTGAGCAATATTACTTGACCTGTTTCTGAAAGGTTGGTAGTTCTACATCCACCACCTTAGAGCATGAATGAATATACTACCGTATATGTTTTCGAACAATACATACCTTAATATAGCTTAATGAATTTCTTGTTACATTGAAGTACAGTATCTAGTATGCCATACAAGGAAAATTCCATCCCCCAATCCTACCCCCATCTCTTACTGTTGCTGATAATGGCAAGCAGGCGCTGGAGATCATGTCAAAAGCATTTCGTCTAGCGTTTCAAATTGTAGCAACGGAAACTCTACCAATACCTTTTTGGGGACTATATATTAAGACACATTGTTTGATCTCTCTTTCAAAGTTCCTTGTATACATAATCCTAAGTTGAATTCACTCCCTAAACACTCCTATATTTTTTTAAGTATAATACAGTAGAACGTCGATACAACACGAGATACTTTCCAAGAGAAGTTGCTTTAAACTGAATTCGCACTAAATCGAAGTGTTGTTTCAATGGAATAATTTAGTTTGGTACTTGAGAGAAACACAAAATACTAAAAAGACCGAGAGTCTACCTCAGCCCATCTCCTAGAATAAACAAAACATTGTTTTTTGTAGTATTATGTTAAAACAAACACTCATAAATTAACACAGTTAAAATTATGGGATGCGAAATGGTCTGTTTACTAGCGATTTGCTGATGAGAAGATGGGGGGGGGGGTGAGGTGATATGTTTGACAGTTGATGCCAAGGTCTAGTGCTTATTTATTTATCTGTCCTTAAGAGTGACTTAAGTTTTTCTCTTATAAAATGTCACTGAACAGACATGTTCTAATTAATTTTATTACAAAAGGCTAAAAAATTTATATCGTGCAAAATATATATCACGTCCATATTCAAATTATTCGCTGTTTTGCAAGGATTCCAGCAATGCAAATTATATTCTCCTAACACTTTAGTATGTGATATTATATAAGATAACAACTGTAAGCCTATTACCACCCAACCCTGACTGGGAAGATGGGGGGGGTGACAGTGACATGTTGACAGTTGGCACCGAAGGTCTAGTGAAGTATTTATTTGTTTATTTATGTCCTTTAGATTGAGTTTTTGTTTTCTGTTTATAAAGTATCACTGAAGTGACCGGGAAGAATATAATTTACATTGCTGGAATTCTTATACAGTAAGTGATTAATTTGAATATAATCATGTTATAGTTTGCACTAGACAAAAATTTTAGTTATCATTTAGTACATTATTTTGAGTACATGTAAAGTACAGCTTTGCCCTTAGGACAGTGTAGCGTGCCCAGAGAAACATTAGGCACGAATTTTAAAATATGATGCGCCAGATTGACTCGCTCAAAATAGGAAAGATTCGCTTTAAATTAAAACATTGTTCTTAATTGTGGGTGTCGCTTTAAATCAATAATCTTAAATTGAATCGCTTTAAATCGACGTTCTACTGTAGTGGTTCTGTTTGCATAATCTACAATGACAAATAAAAATATGTAAAAGACACCTCTTCCTCTTCTGTGTATCTTAATACTGTATTATCCATCATGAATGCAGCTAAGAAAAGTCCCCCCAAATGTACTCCAATCTAAAGCATGATTACATTTATTCAAACTGGTAACATTGCTATGAATTGTGTACAGAAAGAGCATTTACTCACATTCTACTGAAGTTACAGTTTTGATGCCTCCACAGCTCTTCTGGGACGAGAGGACTGCAATGTTATCGGCGTCAATTGGTCAGCAGGTGCAATGACAATCGGATACTATGCTATACAGTCAAAGGTGCCAGGTGTCGGTGAAGACATAAGCAAGCTCCTTTTATTCCTCGAGCGAGCAGCAGGGTTATCACCTGACCTGGTGCACATCATAGGTCACTCCCTTGGAGCACATGCAGCAGGTTTTACTGGAAAGCATCTCAATGGCACTCTGTCAAGAATTACAGGTAAGTTAAAAGTGAGCAAAGAAGTCAAATGAGGTAAGTATGAATACTGTTCCAACTAGGGTCAAGATATCCTTGGTTTTCTTGAATGCCCAGGTAAACTTGTTCCACAAAGAAAAGGGGGTGGTACATTATAGTAGGGTTCATCAAGAAGGATCTTTGGGTGAAAATAAACCATTTTCCAGTAAATTTGTCACTACTCCCGGGAAATTTCCAGTATAGTACAGTATCACTGTATTATTATTATTACTACTATTGTTACGACCCCCTCCTTTCACCGCTACCCAGTTTCCTCCACTGGTTACCAGCAGCTAGGGTCGTATGCACAGAGGCGATAGATATCTCTCAATAGTTATCGAATTACCACTGGCTATCCCGCCAGTCCCCAGTAATTTTCCGACAATCGGTATCAGTGTACAGACAAACAACAGGCAGGTAGATTTCCACCAGGTCACAGAAACACACTTGTGTACTGTACTTTTATCCTCTTCACCACTGATCGGCTCGTTAGCCGCTTGGGCGATTAGTCACATCTCTGATTACTTTTCCTTTTCTTTTATCCTCTTCACTGTATCTTCTTTAATAAACATAATTCTTCACAACACTGTTAACAGGGTAATGGCTTCACAGCTGGACTTTACTCTTCGAATATACTGTAGTCAGCACACTACCAGTGTACAATTCCTTAGTCTTTTCACTTTATATTGATCACAACAATTCCACAATGCTTGCACAACAATTGTCTTCAGTTGTTCTGCTAGGCTTATTCTTTACACTATGAATGGAAGCGATTCACTAGCTCCACCAGGCAGCTCGAGCCCCGCCTGGAGAATTCTAGAATGATCTCGGCATACAATAAGAAGTAAATCACAACAAAAATGATGCACTATTCAGCATTCTAGAATATTCTTACATAATTAATACAGTAAGTCCTCGTTTAATGTTGCCCCCGACAACGTTGTTTCATTATAACGTTGCTACTCTTTAGATACCCATGATTCAGACAACGTACCGCCGACTCGGTATGACGTCGTCAGAGACTACTTTGTACGCCTCATCACCCTCTCTCACCCAGTCAGAGCCACCTTTGCCCATCATTGAGTACAATACAAAATGGTTTAGTTTATTTATCTTTTTGAATGTATAAAATATATTGAACTATTTTCGATAAAAATTCCTTTGAATTTGTGTATATGTAATGTATTTTATAAGGCAAAGGGAAGCTGGGGAATGTAACTCCCGTATTTTATCTATTTCTTATGGGAAACATTTTTCCATTAACATTGCGGTTTTCAGGAACGGAACCACGACGTTAAGCGAGGACTTACTGTGCATCAATATATACACAAAGTTTTCACTAAATTTGCCAAAATAAATGTTGTTTGGGATAGAAAATAATCAAAACACCAAGTTTACATAATTGTATTACGAAATTGTCTTGGCATAACACTACTTTATTATTATTGTTGTTGTTTCTTCTTTGAAATTAATAAAAAAAAATTAAGTTTGACAATTTGAAAATGGCTCTGTGTGTCGCTGTACAGTACTTTACACAATTACAGAAAAATACAGTACAGTACAGTACAATACTCTTACCTAACATTGTTGTAGTTTAAAAATAATAATAATTAGAATACAAACACTTATTTTGGTTCTATATTACTTTTTGTTATTAATGCTACTTGAATATATTGATCAGTGTATGTCTTTATACTTCTACTTTATTATTTGTTTTCTCCATTATAACAGGAAATGTAGTTGTTGAAAAGAAGTACAGTACAGTACACTAATTTCAACATTAATGATATTTTCATTGATGTTTTTTTTTACTTTATTACTGCAATTTCAAATGTTATCATACATTTTTCATGTCAATTTATCCAGATTACATAAAAAAAATAATATTATTTATTTATTTATTTGTATTTCTATTTATTTTTTGTCCAGTATTCCTGCAATATTTTAAATACCTGTATATACAGTACTGGATCCAGGGCATTTTGAATGAGTGAATCCTGGTGTGTGGGGATTGGGAACAACCAGGGTATTAATGAACCCAAGATGGTAACTCTGGCTGCTCAAGATTTGCTGATCTGAGCAGTCCAATGTTAAACAAACATATTTATCAGGAAACATGGCATCACTGAAGGAAATGGCTTCACTATTGAAGTTTGTTCAGAAAAATAGCCTGGTTCTTCCTACTTATGGACTTAAGATATTTCAAGGTAAAATTCATTAGATCTTTTCCTAGTTTAAGGATACAGTACTAGAACAATTAAAACATCTTGGCTCTTAGGAGAGACTGTGTGGAATATATAATGTTGTTTAAGGACAAGAAATCAATAAAAATAATTGCAGTGAGGTTATTAGTTATTAAAGAAGTGTTATATAAGCTACAATGGAGTAAGTAATGAGACAGTTGCAGAAAATAGATGGAGGCCGGAGTCACTGCCAAGACCAAATTCTGGCTTGAACGTCCTGTACACTAATACAGACACATTCTTTGATAGGAGAGAGGAGATTGAAACACTACTGAAGGTACATCAGCCTGATATAGTAGGTGTTGTAGAACTGTTGTACAAGGACAGGAGAATCGACCCAGAGGAATGTGAGTTCAGAATTGACGGATAGGACTTATTTACGAACCTTTCTCAAGAAACTTGCAAGAGGGGTGTGGCTATCTATGCTAGGCAAGACCATAGAGCCAGCCAGGCGAGGGTACAGGGAGAGGATGTTTTTGAAGAGTCCAAATGGTGTAAAATTAAACTAAAGGTAAGAGACATACTCATTATTGGGTGTATCTATAGATCCCTAAACTCTTAACTTATTCAATCAAAGGAACTGAAGAGCCTTAATTGACAGCACAACCGTTTACAACCCTAGCTACCTCCTTGTCATGGGGCACTTTAACTATGGCGACATCGACTGGAGAAATGAATCCACGCCAAATGACCATAATAATCCCACTACTCTTTTTATAGAAACTAAGACAAATTTCTATTTGAACATTTTAGAGATCATGCGCACTGCCGAGGGGAGCAAACACCCAAACCGCTGGACCTCATCATAACTAACAAAGAGGGTATGGTGGCTAAGATTGAACAAATATTAAATCCGTTAACAAAGTTAAAATATGAATATACTAAGTAGAGGTCTGCACACATTTGATAGTATTTTAATGAAAATGTTTTGTTAGGATTTATGGAAGAAAATTAAAGAACTAACCTGAGTGTTGTTACCTGAGGATTAGGTTGATCTGATGATATGGGTAACATGATTTAGTTACCTGACCCTCTACTCCACTACCCCATTTTGGATTCAGTGCTTGTCATTCACCTACTGTGTGTGGCAGAGACGACATGCAGGGGCAGATCCATGAATATCAAGGGGGGGGTGGGGGGCAGGGGGATCCAAGAAGGTGTGGTTGGAGGAACATGGTGAGCGCAGAGAGCCCACCCAGCTGGTTTTATGCCGGAACACTCCTGCCTAACACAATTACTCAAAGTAGTGGATGAAAAAACCCAAATTCTTGAACAGGGTGGTAATATCGACAATTTATACCTTGATTTTGCCAAGGCTTTTGACGGTGTACCCCATGAAAGGCTGAAAATTAAACTGGACGGGCACGGGATTCGGGGAAGTGTCCTTGCGTGGATCGGAGACTTTCTCCATGATCACAAGTAGTGTGTAGTGATTAATGGCATGAAATTGTACTAGTCACATGCAGGGTACCACAGGGCAGTGTATTGGGCCCGCTGTTGTTTGTTTGCTTCATAAATGACATGCCAGAAGCTATACACTCCTCCATACAAATGTTTGCAAATGATGAAAAGTTATTTAGGGTAATTAAGAACCAAGCATACTGCGAAGAGCTGCAGAAGGACCTCTGTGAGCTCCAAGAATGGGCTGCTAAGATTCAATGTCACGAAGTGTAAGAGGATGCACCTGGGGTGTACCAACGATAAGGAGGCGTATCATATGTTTCAACGGGATGAAGAAACTGCACTATTTGAGACCATGTGAAAAGGACCTCTGTGTGTATGTTGACAATGAGCTGAAGTTCTCGGGCCATTGTGAGAAGAGGGTGAATAGGGCAACTAAATTATTAGGTCTGATAAGAAGGTTGTTCAGATATCTAGACGGTCCGTCCCTCGTAATGATCCTCGAGTGAAGTGCTTCCCCATCTGGAGTACTGTCACCCCGTCTGGTCCCCGAAATGTGATAGGGACTGTCAGTTGATTGAAAATGTCCAAAGGAGTGCCACCAGGCTGGTGCCAGCACTGCGGTACCTCAGCTACCCTGAGAGATTAGTGCGCCTACAATTGCCCAGCTTATACTACAGACCGGCAAAGGGAGACCTAATTGAGGTGTGTAAACATCTCAAAGGGCATTATCCAGTCGAGTGTCCTTACCTGGAACTGACAGACGTTCACCCTACAAGGAGTCACAGCTCAAGGTTGAAGAAACTGCAAGTCCAGAAAACTGTGAGGGGTAACATTTTTGGAGTGAGAGTTGTGAACTCCTGGAACTATCTGTCAAGAGTGTTTTGACGGCACCGAGTGTGAGCTCTTTCAAGACCAGACTTGACAAGCACTGTAGCAGCTAACGAGCCTATCAGTAGTTAAGAGGATAAAAGTATAGATGTACAGGTATTATATTTAATACCTGGGCTGAACTCTCTTGAGTCTGGTGACTGGTGGTTGGAGAGTAACCACACTTCAACACTGCCATTAACTAAACAGCCTACCCACACACTGAAGGTTGAGTCTGTAGTTTTATGGGCTGTACACCCGAGAAGGTGTGAAAGAACAAATGCTTATGTAGCTGTATGCTCAATAGTCTGGGTGATAGAATGTATATAATGAATATATGTCATTAGCTCATATTTATATAATATTAATGTGACAGAGGCTAATACAAAATGATGAAAGTGAGTCAAATGATAACACAAACTGTGACACTAATGTATCACAACAAGAACATACAGACTGTGAGGAAGTAGAAGTGGACAGTGATGAAAGTGAGCCTGACCCAACGAATACTAGTGAAAATGAGCCCATACCTCAGTCTTATAATGAAACTGAACTGTTGCTGGCATCAATAATCAATGATTTAGTTGATGAAGAATCTGTGTGGCGATTTTTTAGAGGGGGCGGAGAAAGACTTTGATCAGGACTTCATTGAAGTTAGATGCACTCCTCAGGATTTACGTAACTTCAAGTTGCTACGATCTTCAGTGATAATAAAACGTGAGATTGTAATACTATTGTCATAATACAGTTTTTACCAAAGATTATGCAAACTTTCTCCGCCTTTGTATTCGTATGTTAATTACGTTGGGGGGGGGAGTTTAGTGGTGTTTATTATTACACACTATTATACTTAACAATATTATAATTCTTTGGCTAATAATAGGGACAGTAAGATAAACACTGATAGGCAAATGAGTTTTTTATTATTATTTCATTTTGGAGGGGTGGGGTGGGTGTAAGGCGAGTGCTGTTTTTGGTTATCATTAACTTGTTTTGGTTATCATTAACTTGTTTTGCAGTATTAGCCCACAATAATAAAAATAAATGCAGAAAAATGTGATTATTGTTGGTTTGAAGATCAAACAACTGTACATCATGGGTAGTTATTCTCATTCAACTCACGATAAAATAATAACTATTCACAGTACTAACTTACAGTTTGCTGGGAGACGGAATGAGCTGCACAATAAAAAAAAGAACCCTCTAGCTTAAAAAACAAGAGAGTTATGGTTGTTTGAACTTCAAAAAACTTTAAACGCATTTTCTGCAGTATTTGTCACTTCACCTCAGTGCCTAATATGAGAGAAAGAATGGCTGTTCTTGTATGAAAATACAAGATGGTGCTAATTATAAAATAGGTCTTAATGATCAATTCCTCATTTATATAAGAAAGGCCTATTAAAACTAAAATAAATACAGTACTCTTAAGTTGTTGTTGACTAAGTGCAGGGATAAACCGGCAGGTTTGGATCCAGCTGGCCTCTCGTACCATGCGGCTGAGCCCGCTGATCGTTTGGACAAAAGAGATGCTGTCTTTGTGGACATCATCCATACTCATGGTTGCACTACTCTCCTGAATCAATGGGTGGTCAGTAACTCATGTGAATTCATAATTTTAAGATTTTAATGAAAGATAATTACTGCTTATTTTCTAGATTATAAGCAATAAAACTGGAGAGACCATCAATATTGTAAAATACTACATTGAAATTAGATTTGTTAATGCAGTGAACTCACTCGTCATCACAGTACCTAACATTTCATTTCCCTTTTAGGACTGCTTTGGGATAAATGAAAACCTTGGAGATGCAGACTTCTGGCCCAATGGTGGGGAGCGTCAACCTGCTTGTATGGAAGGCGGAGATGGTCCTTCTGCTGTCAAGGGTTTGTAGTATCTTTACTAATTTAAAGTTTACCCTGGCTTCATGTTACTCATACTGCAAGGAAAACTCAAAGGGGAATTTTGTTGTTCACAGGCAGAAGACCCTGTACTTCTGCAGCATGTAAAAATGCAAAAACTCAAGAAAACTGGAATATTTTGGCTCTTTATATAGATATTGATGTGAATTTTTTCTCATAACTTCTTAGTGCCTCTTATTACTGTGTCTCGTATTCAATCCCCAGCCCGGATCAGATGTAAAGAGGGTGTTATCCACTGCGACTCTACCAATCATCAAAGGTTTTCTCTGGGCACTCCAGTTTCCTTCTGTACTTATTTAACCCTAATGGGCACCCACTTGAGGTGGCCATGCCAAGGGAAGGAGGCCAGTGGTTCATGTAGGATCCCTCTATTGTTCTAGACTTTTTTGTTAAGGGTTATTTTGAAGTCCAGTACTGTATTTGATTCCACAGCTTGGGCTGGTCGACCATTCTTTAGGTCTACCAGCCTCTGTGTAAGAGATTCTTAATGTTCGTTCTGCATGATAACGTGGCAGGCTTGTAGTAATGTCCTCTCGTATTGGTGGTGCCGCTGGTGCGTGATCTCGCAAAGAAATGTCCAGGTTCACATTTTCCGTTCCTGTCAGGATTTTGAACATTTCAATGAGGTCTGCCCTATTGTGTCTTGTCTGAAGGGTTGTTAGTCCTAAGGCCCTCGGTCTACTTTCGTAATTTCAATTAGAGATGTGCCGATACCAAAATTGTGGCGATACCAATACTCTTCCTAAAGCTGATACTGATACTTTCTATTTCAGGAGACTCGCATGAATTGGACAGGTCTATCTACTAACCAGTAGGTGTGAATCATTGCTTAGTGCCATCCAAAAAACTGTGAGGGCAAACTTTTTCGGAGTGAGAGTTGTGAATTCTTGGAACAATCTGCCAGAGTGATGTGACGGCACCGAGTGTGAGCTCTTTCAAAGCCAGACTGACTTGACCAACACTGGAGCAGGTTCAGATATATTCTGGAGCCAGTGCATGCCCAGTATTTGCCAACAGTGCGTAACAGAGATGTGACCGATCGCTCAAGCGGCTAAGAAGCCGATCAGTGGTGAAGAGGATAAAAGTAAAAAAGTCTTAATTTTACTTTAATTTAACTTATTAAATTAGGATCTTGTTCATTACTTATACAGTAAAACCTCGATAAATCAGACTGTTATATCAGAATTCACCTTTTTCTGACTCCGAGATGCTCTGGTCACCAGAAATAATAATAAATAAATACAAAATAAAAATAAAAAAATACAGTGGTCCCTCGGTTAACGAGCACAATTCATTCCAGAAGGTTGCTCGTTAACCGAAAAATTCGTGAATCGAAACCATTGTTTCAATGGGTTTTTGGGTAATTGGTTCCAGCTCACCGAAAATTACATACAAACTAAAAATAAATGCAGTAAAGTACACTTACTTTGAGGTATGCATGTAGAAGGCTCTTGGTTGATGATGATGGGAATTAAAATGGGGGTGGAGGAGAAGGGAGAAGAGAAGGCATTGGGGTGGAAGAGAAGTCACCCCATGCTGCCATTTCACCCATAAAATTTTAGTTCACTTGGTGTAATTCAAGATTATTTTCTTTAAATCATCACTGCACTGCGCTATATATTATCAATATGTAAAATATATTTCAAAATTACCAATAATTTGACTGGAAACACAGAAAAAAGCATTTATGTTGAAGAGTCTCAAACAAGATGTTCCTTCCTCTGAACTGGTAAACAAACTGACGCCAAGCTTGGTGTGTCAAGTGTCTGTTTGGCGTGCAAAAAACTAGTTTCCTGTACTTCAATTATGTTCAATAATTGTTAAAATGACTAAAAAAAATGAATATAAAACTTTTAAAATTATTGAATAGTACAACTTTCTTTATATTGTTACGCCGTCTCTTAATTTACTTAAATATCCAGGTTCTAGGCGTAACCAAACAAAAAAAGTAAAGTAAATTGAAAGGGAATAAAAATAAATAAAGTAAACCTTAAAGAATTTAATTAATTAAATATTAACACAATAAAGAGCCTCGTAGGCTGTCAACAAATTGATTCGCCATCGAAACTTTTAAGGCACAAATGATACTAAACATCGAAACATCAAAAGAATAAAAATAAAGCATTGGATTACGTTAACACTGCATAAACATATAAAAACTAATACTGAAATTAACTAACGTGAAACAACACTGAATTACTTAAATGTAACTAAGCAAATACTGATGGACATAAATAGAGACATAAATAGGTACTCACTAAATATACCACATTGGTGGTGACGGACAACACAAATAAATTAAGTACAGTATAAGTAACAGGTGACGAGTGTCACTCAAAGGATGTGAACTGTATGACAAGAGGACTGAACTGCCTTCCATCAGTTAGTGGACTACTATATATATATGGCCTTTTCCCGCCGGTGGGTCGTTTAAAGATGCAGATGGGCGTTAGAGAACAAAGAATGCTTGTTACAACACTAAATGAAGAAATAAGATAGGCTTGAACAAATAATAACAGTTAAAACCTTAACAGCACAGGGTAAGGTGACTAGATTATATAATAGTAAATATAACACATCATTACAGGAATAATATGGAGCAACATGGAAGCATGTTATATATAAAAAAAATAGAAAAATACGACACGGTCGTAACACTTCCCCCCCATAAAATAAAATTTTTGCTCGCACAAATTTTGATATGACACGTGTTCATTCTGTGGGTCTAGATAACAGATCAGCCAGCACATTGTCTGAACCCTTAACATGTATAACATATAAATAATAGTTCTGAAGGAACAAACTCCAGCGAATTAATCTCTGGACTTTTAACTTGAATGTTTTGAGAAATTGCAATGGTTTGTGTTCTGCATAAATTACAATAGGCCTACTTGGTAATAAATAATAACTGAAATGTTGCAAAGCTGGGATAATTGACAGCAATTCTTTTTCCACTGTTGCATAGTGGGTTTGAGCTGGATTGAATTTTTTACTATAAAATCCCACTGGGTGGTCTACACTGTCATCATCCTCTTGCAACAGGGCAGAACCTGCAGCAAGATCACTAGCATCACAGGCTAGCTTGAAAGGCTTAGAAAAATTAGGGGCTCTCAAAATAGGATATGAGCATAATACATTTTTCAAGTTTTGAAAAGAATCCTGACACCTTGAATTCCAACAAAAAATATTACCCTTCTTCAACAAATCAGTAAGGGGTAGTGCCAACTCGGCAAAATTACAAATATATCTCCGGTAATAACCCCCACAACCCAAAAATCTGCGGACTTGTCGTTTGTTACATGGAACAGGCATCTGAGAAATAGTGTCACACCTTGCTGTGGGAGGCGCAAGTTTTCCCAACCCAATTACATGTCCCAGATACAAAAGTTGAGCACAAACAAATTCTGACTTGGCAAAGTTTATAACAAGTCCTACATTTTCTAACTCGGTGAAGAGAGCGTCTAGCTGACATAAATGGTCTGACCAAGTGCCAGAAAAAATTACAATATCATCTAAATATACTACACAACCAGGCAAATTGGCCGTAACTTGTGACATCAGCCGTTGAAAGGTGGCAGGGGCATTGCAAAGCCCGAAAGGCATGACATTAAATTTATAGGTCTTACCTAGTGTCACAGAACTGGAGATGTCTTTAGCACGACGGGTCAATGGTACTTGCCAAAACCCTCGAAGGCAATCAATCTTGGAGAGGAATTTGGCATTCCCGATTGCTTTGATGCAGTCGTCGACTCTTGGTAGAGGGAAGCTGTCCTTGCTGGTGACGGCGTTGACCTTGCAGAAGTTGATGCAGAATCGAAGAGTGCCGTCCTTCTTAGGTACTAGAGTGACTGGTGAGCACCAGTCGCTGGTTCGATAATGCCCATGGACTCCATGTTGGCCAACTCCTGCTTTACTTCCTCCACCTGGCTTGGATGAATAAGGTAAGGAGCTTGCTTGATAGGCTTAGCAGAACCAACATCGATATCATGCACCACGGCAGTGGTACAGCCAGGACTGTCTTGGAAGATAAGAGGATGTTGTTGGATGGCCGCCAGCACGTCGGCTCTCTGGTGTCCTGGTAGATGCTATAGCTTCTCCTGCAACTCCACGGAGTTGGACTGCCAAACCCTGACTGATGACAGGGTGAGTGGACTTGCCCCCTTCTTTTTCCTCTTCTTTCTCACCGTCTACCAAGAAAGTGTCAACGGCACACACGGGAACTGGATCATCAGCAACAGATGGGGGTGCTGGGCGTGTGTGGTACAGCTTGTTGGTGTTGACGTGACATAAGCGCTGTAGTCGGCGCCTGTCAGGGGTAGAGATAATATAATTCGTGGGGCTTACCTTCTTCACCACTCTATATGGCCCACTGAACTTCGCATGGAGCGGCTGTCCATGTCTCGGCAAGAGAATGAGAACTTGATCTCCTATCTGGAACTCTGTGTCTGGCACGCTTGTCGTACCATGTCTTGGACTGCGACTGCTGTAAGTGGTCTGCAGCAAGGCTCCAACATCTTAAAAGCTTCTCTCTAACATCTACTAAACTTAATATGCTAATGCTCTCTTCACTACTACCTAACAATCTATCTCTAACTATGTGCAAAGGACCTCTTACTTGATGAGCGAAAACAAGCTCGTAAGGGGTGAAACCTGTCGTTTCATTCGGGGCATCCCGAAGAACAAACAAAATATAAGGTAAATCTATATCCCAAGAAGACTCGTACTGCAAAGCATACCGTACATGAGCAAAATAGTTTTTAAGGTTTGGTGTGAACATTCTGCTGCACCCTGAGTCTGGGGGTGGTAAGAAGATACACAATGAACTATTCCCAACTCTGTTAGGGCTTCCTTGAAAACTTTTCCTACAAAATATGAAGCACCGTCCGTTTGAACACGGTACGGCAACCCAAAGTGGCTAAACAGGTCAAGCAAACGTTTAACAAGGGCCTTAGCAGTAACTTTCC